TATCAAAAGAGTGGTGTCGTGACTGTGTTTTCCATAGTGTTCTTGCTGGCGAGAAGTTTTCTGCGAGTAGGGATAGCCAATGTGTATGGACGGCATTACTTCTGATCGAGCCCATTCGTCGAATGTCGTTTAGTGCACAAACACCCGGTATGTGGGAACCGATTCCATAGGGATGGAGTTTCTAGTAGGCCTGGGACGGTATCAAGCCGAGGTTTCCGGACCAAGAGTGGGCTACGCTTCCAGTTGTCTTTATATCACCTCCACTCGTTCTTGTATGAGTAAAAGATCAGAGTGGTGGAATTCAGATCACCGCCAGGAAACTTCATTATAATTAGGGAGACGTGGTCCACATTGTAGACGAAATTAAGATCATGAAAGGCGCTGTCTACCAACATGACGGCACTCTCGAAGTAGAGGACTATGCTAGGAAAATCGCAGCAGGCTACGACATTGAAGTGAGTTCTAGTGCAAAGTCGTTATGGTGACGAGAATGAAGCTGATATATTCCAGGGATTTCATGAACCATTCTCGATCATCGATCTCGATGTGGTTAAGCGGAATCTGGATTTATGGAACATGGCTTTACCTTCTGTTAAGGTTTCTTCAGTCATTTTATCTCACATTCCCAGAATGTATCCAAAAATGAAGAACTAGACCGCGTTTTCTGCCTCGCAGTTTGCAAGTACCTTACATTTATTTCAGCCATTCTACGCAGTCAAATGTAATCCGGATCTCAACATTCTTAAAACCCTCTCTGCTCATGGTGCATGCTTCGATTGTGCGAGCCTTCAGGAAATGGATACGGTAGGTGACTTTTCTTCAACAGGGGAAGCTGACCAGCGGAGGATGTGCTCAACATCTTAACGTATGAGCTTAGTTTCTTGAGAATCATGGAACATTGCTCTGTGATAAGTTCTTTCCCTCCAAATACTTCCAGCAAAAACGTAAGGACCTTATAGGGGCCGTGCTGCACATTTTATCGTCGCTAATCTATTTACTTATTCATTCTGTTGTTATATAGCAGGGATATGATCCCATGAAGGAACGGTTGGAAGAGAGAGCTAGAACTCTTCGACAATGAAATCATTAATTCAGATTGAATTCTATTTATGGACTTTTCTTGGAGAAAAACTAGTAGAAATAGGGTTGTAATTTTGTATTTTACAGATTCTGTCAAATGGACTCGCACGAGGTGATGAAATCATCCTTGCCCATCCCGTGAAGAGCCGTCGCTGTATAGAGTACGCTATCAGGAACGGTATTACTTCAATGACACTGGACAGCGTTGAAGAACTGAGAAAAATCGCTAGCATCACCTCTGGGGCAAAGTTAGTTTATAGCCTTCGCTAGGTCTCATAAATACAGATTCCATGGAAGAATACTGTAAGATTCTAGGGTTTTGTGAAAGGCTGTAGAGATTTTTGTTGTTATTTTGAGCTCTTAATAGGAGATAGGAGATATAGTGCCATCAATCATTCTCTCTTGTTGATGGACTTCTCAAGGTGAGAAAAGTGAGAAAGCTCAAATTCTATCTATGGATTCTGTTACCTCACCATCACTCGTGAACCTGGGTGAGACCGAACTGTTGTCATGTCATCTGGATAGTTCGTTTCAGTATTTTAGGCTGATACTGCGGATCAAAGTAACCGGTTTCGTATCATTGGTTGACTTAAACAAAAAGTTCGGAGCTGATGAAACGACTAGTAAGCTTATACTTCACGAAGCAGTGAGGCTTGGAGTGAAAATCCATGGGATCAGGTAAGCTATAATACTAACATTTTCGAAAAATTCAATATGGAGGGCGTGGTGAGGCAATGCCGGATGGTACACCATCACAAATGCATGTGGTAAAACCAGGATCGATCTCTCATTGTATCAAACTGAAGTATTTGTTTCAGCTTCCATATCGGCTCTGGAGTAGAAAACTGTCGACCACTAGCGCTTTCATTAGCAAATGCACGAAAGCTTATAGATTACGGTCGTATGTTGGGTCATCCTATGGACATACTCGATATAGGAGGTGGATTTATGGCCACTACTTCACGAGCATTTCTTAAGGTACTCAAATAATTTTGTTAGATTTGGAAAAATGGCTCACGATTAGCGGCTGGGGCGATTCAATAAGTTGCTGTGGGACGGGACAACTAGCTAGGAACCGCTGGAAGGTTTGAGACTTCTGCTACACCCTCAATCACACATTAGGTGCAGTTACGTTTCAATTACAATTCCGGACGTTATTTCTTGAAGGTTCATACCGAAGCTACCGTAATTGAAATTTTTGTAGCAAGCCGATTTTGTGACCGTACCATAGGTTAGCCCGTTTGACCCATTCAGTTCAGGACCATCTCTGCCATTACCGCACCCGAAACTATTACAAATTCCATTCCAGATCGGCAACTACATCGAGAACACCCTAAGTACGTGTTTTGAGGGTATATCGCTTACAGTTATAGCTGAACCTGGCCGATTTCTCGTCACTGATGCCCAATATGTCGTGGCATGCGTAAGCCAAGTCATTCTGAAATCAGTAAACGGTAAATCTACAATAAGAACTGATTCTTTGCCTAAAAAATTCGACTTGATTACATTCAACCTTATTAAGTTGCTGCAGAACTAAAATCAATCAAATAGAGACGGTTGCAAATTTCAGAGGATCTACCAACTTCCTACAGCATTTTCATCAATGACGGTGTTTATGGCACATTCAACTTCGTTCTCACCGAACAAAGAAAAGTGCTGGGGGAGCCACTCTTGTTGAGTTTGCGTTTGAATGCTCAGCTTTTCCAGCCGAACAGTTTTAGGAATACTATTCAATTTCAGAGGCGAGATGGATTCATGAGGGCAGATATCTGGGGACCTACCTGTTGCAGTTTCGATATTATAGAGGTGAGGTAAAGTGTCATAGAAAACTTTTGGGTATTGGCTCCCATTTCGAGCCACTTTTGAAACTGCTGCCTCGTTGGGAATATTGAAACGATCGTCGCCCTACTGCCAACTCTGTATAAGAACGTATTCAACGGCATCGTCGGGTATAGCCTCAGAAGGGTCAAACTGAAAACCGACTGCTCTTTCCGACTGTGAGGGTTTTTCGAACAAAGTAATATTATATGGGGCGATTCGTTTTGTAAAACCTCTGGGATATAGGAATTTACTTGATATTTTCAACCCATTCCTTCCCTACAGACATGCTTTCAGAGCGATAGACGGATTTCCACTGTACATGAAGGTGACTGGATCCTTTACCCACAATGTGGGGCCTACTCGACATGCTTATCAACGAATTTCAATGGATTCTACCCACCTGGGATACTCTATATGGTATCAGCAAGCAACTGGTAGGAAAGCTTTAACCGTTCATGTTATCAACTTCACAAAAACTCAATTTTTAGGGCAGAGGTCATGAAAGCTGTTCGAAGGAATCCAAACGAAACCTTTCCAGACAGAATTACCTCAAAATTATGATTACACCATTTGTATAGTATAATATGTAAATAACGACGTGTATTGGGAAGAATTTTTATTATCTGATTATTTATTGTAATTGATAAATTTTACGAATCAAAAATTGAAGTGCTGTCGTACAAAAAATGAAAACAGAATCCACAGAAAGGCATCCGACAGTATGTAGCGTGTTCTGGCGTTAATCAATCCCGTCTGAGGGATGCGCCCCCGCACTCGACTTCCATTCAGAATCGTTGTGGCGTAATGAGTGCGTATGTGGCCTATACAATGACTTGCGGTGGCCAGCCGATGTACAAGTCAGTGCCTTTTTATCCTC